CAATCCACTTATTTGTACAAAGTCGAATATGATAAATATTATTTATTTCAATTAGCTTTGTGTATCACCGAACATCATATTTATAATCTACATTGACAAGTGCTAGAACAAATCTTGACGTCAAATTAGAACTTTGTAGTAATGCGCCCTCTATCTAACAAACATATTACAACATTAAAAAATATGTATACATAGCTTACAATGCAGACCCCATATTGGATTGAAAAGTCCCTTGGAACAACCCTAATACAGAAAAATATAATAAAATACTACACTAAATTGTCCATTCACTCAAGTCTATCTTGGTAGTTTTTTCTTCTGAAGTCCATGGTACACAGAGAGAATGACATTTTGTACCTTGTTGTCACTGGCGATCCTGTCGTTCGAGAGTTTTCCTGTTTTTGTGGTAGGGTAAATCCACTGATAGCTCCAACCTTGAAGATCCTGTGAGGACGGTCTCGATTGGAACTGTGGACTCCTCAGTAGGTCTAGTTTCTGCTGATAAGCTATTCTCTGGAGTTATTCAGTTGTTTTTTTCTCTCATTGGTGCATTTCCAAAGGCAATCACTGTTGGTGATCTTTGGCTAAAATTGCCATTCCTTCTGGATTAAGTAGACCACGTCATTGATTCTTATCAGTACAGCATATGGCCAGGTGTAAAAAAATATCCTACAGTAAAAGTAACTTCTTTCTTTTAGCTAGAACATTATGTCCATTTGAAATTTGCATCACTCCCTTTTCTTTCTACCCCCTCCCCCCCACTGGCACAACAGTATATCTGTGGACTCATACTGCGAGAAGCCGGGTTTTTCTATACCCGTGGTGAGCAGAGCACAGGTAGCCCTTTGTCTAGCTTTGTGCTTAATGACAAACAACAACCCCTTTCTTTCTTTACATCTGGAGGCAGTTTCTCACCTTTCATTACCCAAGTTAGGTCAAACAATTTTCGTTGTAGTACCTGTGCCAAATAACATACTACAATAGTTTCCATCAATAGACCCATGGATTAATAGACTAGTTTCTTTAAACAATGAAATTCTTTCATTTAGAGTAGATAGGATATTCTCAGCTGAACAATGCCCCATAAGACTAGCTAATTACTGTTTTCTGATGTCTGGTTAGACCTTAGTTGTTCCATTGATTTGATTGGGCTCAAAAACTCTTCCTTTGGGTATTGCATCTGGTGTCTTAAAAACTGCTGAATTCTCACAGTCTTGGCTGCAATGACTAGATTCCTCATGTATATAACAATTCCCTCTTTTTGTTATCTTTTGGGGAGAGTTCTTATTTCCTATAAACCTTTGTACACAATTCCTGGTAATATGTCCTTTCAAGTTACACTTGAACCACCAATTGTTTTATGTTTTATTCCATCCACTCTGTGTAACCATTAGGTTGTCAAGAAATTAATGTCTCGTTTTGGAACATTCATTACCTCCCCCCCCCCCCGAAAAAAAAGGACTTCACATATAATAGTTAAGCGAACTGCCTAAACGTCACGCCCATATAATGTATAAAGTTAGTGTACTCTAATCCCTTATAGTGATGGCACACGACGAGACACATTCGGCACGTAATGCTGTTTGGATATAAGAAGGGAAACAGCGCCTCTGTAGCGACAAAGAATATCAAAGATATTTATGGAATTGTTTTGAACATTCGTGTCAACGATGGTTCAGCAAATATCGTTCAGATAACTTCAGCCTTAAAAGCTGTAATGACAGGGGCCGACATGTTGGAATTGATATTGATGCTCTGAAGACGCTTTTTAAGTCTAACCCAAGGCAACACACTCGTGAAATGGCCCTGAAATTGCATGTATCCCATGAAACAATACGTAAAAATCTAAGGAATATGGTGTTTGGGTGCCTCACGAACTCTCCAGTGATTATCGTTTCCAACGTGTGAACTTGCTTCGTCTCTTCTGATGCGTAATGCGCGTGAACCATTTTGAGATAGAATTTTCCCAGTGATGAAAAATGGATTATCTATGCGAATATTAAATGCTAAAAACAATGGCTCAGTCCTAGACAAAAACCACTTCCGACCCAAAAACCTGGACTCCATCTGCAGAAAGTGATGATTTGCATTTGGTGGGACATCAAAGGAGTAATTCATTTCGAAATCCTCAATCCACAGCAAACTGTCAATGCAGAGATCTATTTTCAGCAACTGGAACATTTAAATCAAGCCCTTCGTCAGAAACGCCCTTCACTCGTCAGTCGGAAAGGTGTTCTTCTTCTCTACGACAATGCACGTCCACATGTGGCACGTTTGATTCAACACAAAATTCTCCAGATATGGCACCATCAGATTACCATCTTTTTCGTTCGCTGCAACACCATCTTAATGGGAAAACGTATGCAAATCTGGAATTGTTAAATTAAGTTAAGCTAATGGATTTCTTTAATCAGGGCATTAACAACCTGATTGTAAGATGGAAAAGCATCATCGATGAGAATGGAGACTATTTCATTTAATAAATGTTTTGTTTTGTAATATAAGTTGTTCGGGTTTTTTCATTTAAAAAAGCTACATTAATTTCTTGACAACCTCGTAGTTGTCTAATCAATTCTGTTACTTCTTTTAGTCTATCATTAATTTGTGTTGATGTTTCAATAATATTCAATCTGATAATCCCGTAGTTTAGAGAGAATGTCTTTATTTGTGTATTTGCAACCTTAGTGGTGTCTAGTTCCATTGCCAACTTCATAGCTTTCTTTAAAGATGTACACATACTCTGTTTCAGCCTAATTCTCATATATTTCTCTGTTATAACATTTATAAGTTGGTCACATACCAAGGAATCCACCATCTCATCAGAAGCATCAGAGTGCGAAAACTGGGCAAGCCTTTCCAAATCTTTTGCAACTTAAGCTAAAGTCTTTTCTTTCCTCTGTACCCTGTTCCAGAATTTCTAAAGACTTTTCTAGTGTAGCACTCCAAACCTGTTGCATAAGGAAGCTATTAATCCTTAGTAGTTTTAAGTCTCTCATCTAGGTGGTTACTTAATGTTGTCAAAGCTGATCCTTTTAAATGGGCTGTCACGTGGATGACTTATTCATTATTCCTTCCATTCACCATTGAAATGATTTTGAACATTTCCATCATAGTCTTTTAGATTGTCGATTGGACAATATTTAGTTGGCAAGTTAAATTCAGGAACTGGTTTTAGTATTATCGTGGCTGAAGTAATCCAGAAAGATCCTTCAGTAACAGATGTCACATCAGTAGTAGTAATAGGTGTAAACCAAGTTATTTCACATCTTTAAGTAGATGGTGTTTTAGGTTGGAATTTTTGAGCTTATGCAGAAAGAGATGTGGCTGGTTTAGTCTTTGCATTTAATAATTCATCATCCAGAGGCTTTATTCTATCATCTATGTTCTTTTCTACCTCATTTGTGTCTTTCTTTACTTCACTTTTGACTTTTTTATGTCATTTTGTACTTCACTAATGTCCTTCTGCATTTCATCAAATTTGCCGTTGTCATCCCTCTGCGTGTCCCCTGCAGCTTCATCTATCTTGCCTTCAATCAGATTTATTTTTGATCATAATTTTTCATTAAATACTTGGTTCCTTTTTTAACTCCTCTTTTAAATAACTTCATGTTTCTCTAATCTTTTGTGTGCTTCTTCTTGGTCTACTTTTAATTTTCTTTCTCTTTCTTCTTTGAATGCTCTTTCTATTTCTTATTGTGATTGTTTCCATTATTTCATCACATCTAGCAGATTTCCTTTCTCACTCTGTACCATTGTAGTCGTTTTTAAAGTTGAAGTTCTATTTCGAATATTCGAAATTCTATTTTATGTTCATCAAAAAAATTAAAAATAATGTCCCATTCTGACAGCAGTGTTGTAAGACCTTCTCATTGGTGTCTTAAGCTATCGGGTAAAGAATAATCAGTGCCCAGTCCACTAAAAGAGATAATATCAACTTATTTCCTCCCTTAAAGGTTTCTGCATGCTTAAACCACTTTTAAACTGCCTAATTTGATATGCTACCTCAACAAATGATGCTATATCTTTCTAACAGTACTAGGACTAACATATATTCAATCCACTTATTTGTACAAAGTCGAATATGATAAGTTTTATTTATCTCAACTAGCTTTATGTATCACAGAACATCATATTTATAGTCTACAATTGCAAGTGTTAAAACAAACCTTGACACCAAATTAAAACTTTCTAGTAACGCGTCTTCAAGCTAAAAAATATATTAAAGCATTACAAATATATTTATATATTAGCTGGAATATCCGTCCTTTGGACAGAAGTTATGTAAATACATGATCAATGAAAGGTTATCTTAGAACATGAAAAGTTGCTTACCCTATATGTAATTATAAAAAACGCCCATAAAAACTGCAAAACAGAAAATGTGAAAACGCAAATTTGCACGTATCTCCGCATGGACCCAAAAAACCTTCATGCAAATTTGGTGAAGATCCATCCACAGGAAGTGAGTTAGTGGTAAAAAAACGTCCATAAAAACCGCAAAAAAAGCAAACTGAAAATTTGCATGTATCTTCCCATGGACCCAATGAAACTCCATATCAAATTTGGTAAAGATCCATCAACAGGGGCGAAGTAATGGTAAATAACGCAAAACGCCCATAAAAACCGCATAACGCAAAACTCAAAATTTGTATGTATCTCTCCATGTACTCAATAAACCTTCATACCAATTTTGGTAGAGATCTATCCACACTCTGCGAAGTAGTTACATGGACAGACAACAGACAATACTTTTATATTTATATAGATATATAGCTTATAACAATATGTAAAACGCTTGAGAAGACTAACATTATTTTGTTTTGCTTTGCGTAAAGCACGAAACAAATACAAATCTTTAAAATTATTTTCTTGCAATGTAGATTACTAGGAAGTTTAGATTTCTATTTTAATGTAAAGAGGGCGTGATTCATTTTACTCTTTCTACTGAAAAGAAGGGCAAGACAAATTTTACACGTGGTAAGTCAATATGATTTCTTGAAGCATTGCGACATCGTATTTTTATTGCAGTCAATCTATGCTGAACGCTGTTAACTTTTGAAAGTATATTTTTACCGAAAATTCCATTTAATAAATGTTATTGATTTTCATTAGCTGCAATAAGAAATGTTTTAGATGATATAGGTTTTAAAAATTTAAATATTAATTCAACGTAGCGAGGAGTAGGGGGCGATAAAAAGCTATCATGTAGCCGGGTGTACCACTATTAGATGCTAACGATAGTGGTGTTGGTCGTGTTTCGTGAGGGTTATTCACGTTCACGCAGCTGAACAAAATTACAAGTGAATTTTTTCAGTAATTATATGGTTCGTCGTATTTAGGTGAATTTTATTTCTTTTAATTTGAAGCTTTATTATTGTTTATAAAACTAGCTTTTAATCAACTCATTTTATAAAGGTGGAAAAATTTCAGGCTTAGCCATATAACGTAAAATAATCAAAAGTTCCGTGTGTTAAGACTAATATAGCTAACTTAGCATAGTACTTGCAAGTGTAAAACAAACAGTATATAAGTGTTACATCATGAGATCGGAAAGAGGCCTTTCTAGTGTAAGGTGTTTATTATGTACGTGTAGCTAAGCCTAACTGCAAGAAAGTACGAAGTGTAATGTCTAAGTTTATTCTTCAGATTATTTTGAATTTTAATCTAATCATACATTTATTAAACTTTTCCCATTCTTGTTGCTTATTTAATTTGTACTTGTTTTACCCTAAAACATTGTAGACGTTAGCATACACTGCACGTGAGTTTAAAAATAAAATGAGAACCGATGATTTCCTTAAACTTAAAGTAAAGGGAGGGTGTTGTGTAAGGACAACCATGAAAGATGTTATATTATGTTGCCTTGTCCATATGTTATAGCATACACTGTTGTACTAGTAGTAGTACAAATACTTAAATTTAACATTAGTAACAGTACAGTCTATAGTGTAGAGGTATTGTAATGCTATATGAATACAGTGTTATTTGACATGCAACTATTATATTTATAGTATAATCTATACCCTAGGCAGTAGACATTTGGTACAACATATTAATAGATTATTAACGTTTTTAAGTAGGTTTAACATTAGCATATATAATAACATTTTAAGTTTATTGATAGTATTAAGTATGGTAAAGTTTAGCCCTAACTAAACTAAAGCAAAAAACACACAAGTTAGTGTTGATTTATCTATATCAAGTATAGGTCATACTTAATAAAGGCTTAACTAATGTTGGGACTAAAACAAATGAACTTATACTTACAGATTTTGGTGTATGCGATTAAAATTCTTTTGTATTATTGTAGAAATTCTGTGTTTAAAGAAATACTGTTGTAGTAAAGATACTAACTTAATGACAAATGTTTTGTAGGTCTCTGTTAGTATATCAAAATATTCTATGGTTTATCTATATTTTACATCATGTCTTTCAGGGTGGGAAAAATCTAATTCTAGTTTCCCTACTGCCAACCATTTTCTAATAACATGTTCTTTGTATTTAATTTGTTTTCTTTTTAAACAATTTATTATTGTTATTATGCTTAACTAAATTAGTGCTGTACAAAGTAAAAATAAGTCCAAAGTGTGTTTGTTTTGCCTTTGTATCTTCAGTCAGTTAAGCATTAAATTGGTTGGCTAACTTAAGTAGGGCTAGGTGATGTAATTGATTTAACAAAAGATAGTTTTGTTAAGTTATAAACATAGTGTGATTTGGAGAAAGTCTTACCTTTCTAGTTTTTGAAGAGGTTAATGTATATCTAGGTGAGGGGAAGGGGGTGTATTTAGTATATCTGGATTTTCAGCAAGTTCTTTACAGGCATGGTGGTAAGTTGGTTTATTGGATAGAAAAGTATCTGGATGGAAGAAAACAGAGGGTTGTTTTAAATGGAGTTCTTTCAAACTAGATTGTCCTAAGTGTGTAGTGCCTTAGGGCTCAGTATGAGGATGACCTTTGCTTTTGTCATTTACGTATATGAAGGAGTGGTCAGTAAATTTGCTCATGATATTTAGGTCTTGAGTGTTGCTGGCTTTGAGGAGGAGGATGCTGTTTTATAAAAGGATATACGTAATTTAATGGGTAGGGCAAATAAGTGATAGAAGACTTAATTATAATAACTGCATGTAGGTTATCATAATTTTAACTATAAGTATAATTCTGATGGGAATAACCATAACAGTATTATGGACGAAAAGGACTGGTTTGTGGTTGATCAGGTAGTACTTAAAGAAATACTGAGTACAAGTCAAAGAGGTTATAAAATCATGAAATTTATATAATGAGTTGTTTTTAAATTTTAATAATGATTAGTTTCTCAGATTGTAGAAAATCTAAGAATGATGAAGAATATGTTGCATATTAAGGGTACTTTGCATCAAAAGGGTGAGGTTCGAACACCTTATACCTCACCCCTATATCCACTACTGACAAACACATGTTCAAAGACATGATGTATCACTCACATGCAGTTCTAGTCACTCAACAATATCTATTTAAAGAATCATCTCAAATTGTGTATATGTCTCATTAACATTTTTTCTGTAATAAATCTAGGCCTACCACAAGTGACTACAGCTGCATGTGTATTCAGTTATTTTTAAATGCTGAACCCATTATTGATGTGGGAATGCATATATTTTATAATGCATCATTTTTTTTTAGCACAGTGGGCCTGGAACTGTAGCTTCACCAGTCCCCGCTTTAATCTGGCCCCAGTATTAGGCCTATAATGTTTTTTAACAATACATTCTTTATTCAATCCCTTTGCCAGTGAGACAGAGTATAAAGGCCTCTGATGTGTTTGTACTATATTTTGAAGACAAGAGAAAATTATTTTAAGATTTGGAAAAAACAGGTTGGGCTTTAATCAGAAAGTTTTATTTTTCTAACAGAGCAATTGGCTTATGGAATGAGTTACTATCAACAGTAGTGGAGGCTAACATTTTACAAGTTTAAAATAAGAATCAATAATTTTGTGAAATGTAAATGATAAGTTAAATTTCTTATTTTCACATAGGTAAATAGTTTTTCAAGCCATTCAGTTAATATTTAATGCTTTCCACATGGGTCAAAGGCCATGTCATTGTGTTTGTTGACTTGTATTCAAAATTGTATTGAACTGTTATTTTATGAATTTGTGTCAGTAAGTTTGGTATAAAACTGTAGATTATAATTCAAATTTTAATGTTATACATTATTTAATTTCTTTATTTCAATATAAATATTAAAAATAAACACCTGAACATAGATTTTTGTGTGTCACGTGGTATGTTGAATGCAGCACTGGTTCAAATTAGACGTTTGTGATGTCAAAATACAAAGTCTAGTTTTGTGTGAATTAGGAACTCAAATTACCGATATTAACAAGCTAGAATGTAAAATAAGAACCTTCTATCATTTCTATTTGAGATATTGCTCAAGTACTGAATCAAATGCAGTGGCCCCGCTCACCTCTTTCCATTTTTGGAAAAGCTCTCTTATATACACTTCTGTCTAAGACATGTGAATAACCAATCAAAAGCTCAGAATGTCCCCTAGCTTCTTTCTAATCCATTTTCAAGTATTACGATGGCACCTTATACTTTCAATACAAATCTTGAAGCTGGTAAGGTGAGTCTTCAGTCTGCTCAAAATTGAATATTTTTTTTTAGACCCAAGTACAGCTTACTTACAAGGCTTGATAAATTATAGTGGAATTTTATATATATATATATATATATATAT